AGGATTGCATGCCCCGATTTTTACACTTTTCAACGTAGACACGGGGTTTGGTTTGGTTTGTTTGTGTGTTACGTCCTATTAACATCTATGGTCATTTAAGGACGTGTCAGGTTTTGGATCAACTTGTAATGCAATAGAGAATAGAGAAACCATTGCATAAATGATTAAAAACATACGTCTTCCTTCTAGAGTAATATTTTCATTGAATTGGCATGATTTTCTCACATGACGTGTCAAGGTATATATACGTAACCGGTAATGTAATTAATGGAAGGTATATTCGTTTCCTTATCAGAATTTGTGTCAGAAAATGTCGGCAGGTTAACGGAGCCATGTAAAAGATGCTTTTAATCAGATTGGCCTAATCATTTCCATTTCATACACAGTCCTACAGTGTATTTTAGATAGCAATTGACTATCGCACATGTTTTGTTATGAATAGAAATTGATGGTCGATCTATGGTTTTCCACTGAGGGGGGTGAAGCGAGGTGTGAAAATTTTACCTGGAGTGGACAGTTAATCACCTCGGGCGATGTACAGTTTGCGCGACCTATTGTTCAATTGTCCTGGTGTCAAACACGGATAACTTACCTGAGTTTTTACATTATAAAATCCATTCTCGGCAGATTTTTTTTTATAATAAGCAGGGCCTAACCTTTGACCATATCATAATGGATAAAATCGGTACATGGGAAAAGAATAATAATAAGCGACATCATAATAAGTAGGTTCCACTCAAGTACAAAAAAACTCCTTTAATATAGCAAAGATATTTTTTCACGAAATAAAACAGTAAACAGAAACACTGCGTTATTAAATTGAATAAATGTGTAACAAGTTTATAACAAACATGTCTTTCAATCCCTGTCTTGAACAAACCGCATCATATTTCATTAGTTCATTATCTGTAAACAATTCATGGTTATTATCAAATATTATGTGTAATACCAAAGACGTATATATTACAATATATACGTCTCTGCTATTACTTCTTTTAATTTTGACATGTGTTGCAAAAGCGGCACAAAATCATCTAAAATCTGACTGATTGGGTTAATCTAATAATACATCTGAGGGAGATAAGCTTTGTGCTAACTCACAAATATGCTTCAACCCTATAAATAAGACCGACTTCATTCAAATCCGGCTGATCAGGCTAGTCCACTGTTTGACGAGTAGCTAAAGATATCAAAGCATGGTTAGCTTTACAGTTCTTTTCTTGTGTTAATGTATTGGTCCTGTCGATCTATTCTGTGACTATACTGAAATGGACACAATATTTTGAAGAGAGTTTCTTAATTCTGCCGGTAAGAATAGTCGTATTCGAGTGGTCAGTGGTAAAATTAAAGGCTTATTTGCAGTGGTAATGTTTGTGATATAAAGCAAAACGCCAGTGACCCAAACATTGCGATGGGAGCTGTGTGCTGTAGTTAGGTAGGAACACTACAGTAAGTAGGAAACCATACGCTTCGGGGAAGAGTGCGGGAAGCACAATTTCAGCAAGCAGAACTACGTAAGAAAAATAATGAGATTTTTTTATTAATTGTATACTTACAAAATACATGCATTGTTATGTTTTTCACAAACATATGGCTAGTTTAGAAAGTATCGAAGTGAATGCTGTCACTGCCTATTAGTTGGCTAGCCACAAAATGGTGTCACGACGGTATGAATGAAAATACTAGGGGTTCCTGTCGAAAACATTTGCATATGAATGAAAAGTAAATGAATGAGATCCAAATAAGGAGATATCAGATTCCATATAAGGGCAGAAAGACCATATAAGGTCATAGATGGCGTAAGTGTCAAATGTGCAATTCCACGTTAAGCATCCACATGACATCTACTTCGTAGTATGCGCGATTCCCTAGACACCTGCGTGACCCAACGCATGTGTCAAAAATAGCTCACTGGACTTATTACATGTCAATCTCTTTTACGACCCAACTGAGTGCTGAGAAATGACCAATAATTTGAAGTTTATTTTTATATATACCTAGGTCATGTGGAGCTTTATTTCTCTTCTACTAGCTGTTGAGAGGAATTCCAAAAGAAAGATAGATGTTGCCATGCAAAACCACTAAAATCATAGTAAAATCACCTGGTTATACATTTAAGCAAATTATAAAAAAGAAAACAAAGGCCAAGTAACCTTGATCGATAAATGAACTTTAGGTGATGTGTCATTTGATAACATTCTGTGATTATAAGAATGCGCTAGACATGTTATAAACATTGAAGCTGAAAAGTACGGTAATGTTTATAACAAGTCTAGCTCGATCTTTTATACCAACATTGAATTTTAAGAAAGGACATTTTATATGAAGTGTAAGTAGTGTTTATGGTCAAATGTGGTTTTACTCATATATACCGGTAAGACATGTTACGCGAACGTTTTACTATGATTTGTGTACATTCCCATAGTCACAATCATCTTATTGTGAGGACGGTATACCCCTCTACACAAAATTAAAGAGAAATAAAGCCCCGCATGACTTAGGTATATAAGGATCTTCAAATAACATATCATTTCGTATCATTCCGTTTGGTCGCTTAAAGATTGGCACGTTAAAAATCTGGTGAAAAGTTTTTATCAGCTTTAATGCCGTGTTTTTTACTTCTTTGACCTGGTTATGTAACGTTACAAGTTCAATATGTTTATTTTACATATATATTCCAATTAGTGATAAGAGTATTTTAACATAACTCGCCAGGGGGGTGAAATTTAGGGTGGTTATAAAACTTCTAGGGGGCTTGTTGAACCTATAATTGATTTTCCTCCGGAAGACCAACACGCAATGTCCGCCATGAAACGTGTGAATTGATATTATTTTACGGATCTATTAGTGTACCATGTTTCAAAAGATTCTGGATCCTTTATGGCATCGTTGTCGCAGTGATTAAAAAGCGACTATGCATTGGAATCTGTTTTCTTGATCATTTCTCTAAGGGATTTAACCGGACAACGTGCATCGCCGATGGCATACATGCGTTTGTCAGCTGGAGCTTCGACACTTTCCAAGCCACCTTGTCGTTTTTTTTGTTTAGTTTCATGGTTTATAATGACATACTCTTTGTCATTTTCGTCACGTTTGTATTCAAAGGAATTCGGTGACAGCTGTTCGTGAAATTCTAAACCCCTCGACACGAAATGCACTGACAAATTGTACCAAACGCGGAGTCTGAGGATAATAGGATTTTCTTCAAAATTAAGGTACATGTAAGTTCCTATTTTTTCCAAATCTTGATCATTTATTATTGCCTTGTGACTTGTTGGTCGGGAAGCCCCCTCCTTCACGTTCAGCTTCAATCTGCCATCCAACATGTTATTTGCCGATTTGAACTGCCTGTCGCGTACAATATCTATATCTCTACCTAAATCGTGAAGACGTCTATTTATGGCCGCTCTCATGCTTTTCAGTGAATTTTTATGATATTCGGCAGCTTGTTTTACGGGCATTTCCTTGGATCGCTGCTCGACATATTTGGGGACCACCTCGGCATAGAACACCCTTAATTTTTCGTTCAGATTTTCAGGAGAGATATTGGCCAAATCAGAGACGTATATAACACATATGTCTTTATACGTCTCTGGCCAAATCAGTTATATTCTGACCATCTCGTTCCATGCACCATTCTGAAATGTAAAAATTACTCTGTATACACGATACAGTAGGGATTAAGGGTATATACTATAGGAGGGACAAACGTTCGTCAACACAGATAACTTACGATAGAGTACTCATGTATGCCATGCATGGGAAGTCCAGGTTCAAGTCCTGGTCTGTGAAGAATATTTTACCTCCTGTTTATAAAGCCCTATAGTACCATAATGATTTTAATTTTATCTATTGTAGCTTAAACAGTGTTAAATGTATTGAATTGGTCTAATTACTTTTCGAACATTTCGTTCATTTAATAATTACATTATTCACGGAATTACATTAAGTCCGTGCATTATTTCAGTAAATGACTGTTTTCTTTACCTTGAAAAAGTCCATGCCCCATGACGTTGAACGTTTTGTAGACTTTGATTGTCTGTTTTCTTCTATTTTTTTCAAATCTTCTTCATTCGTTTTTCTAAAACGGCCTGGTGCATTTAATTTTCCTACTTTCAAATCTTCCTTCATTTTCTGAACATCTTTTAGACTTGCCGCAGTACTTGAGGCTGTAGGTGTGTTACCGAAACCCCCAACATCTTCCATATCATCTTCAAATAAGAGCATTAATATAAAGACTGCGTGGTCTCTGGTGAGAAATCAGCTGACTCCAGCATCAATCGCTCAGGTATTTCATCTCTTTCATTTAGACTTAATATGTCGACAGCGTTTCCAATGTTGAAGCTAGACATAACACTTTGCAGGCGACATTATTTTGTTATTTTACTTCCGGTCCAACAGCGGTACATCCGGCCAGACCGAAAGTAGTCCTTCCATCAGTTTTTTTTTTTTCATGTAATGAGCTGATAACATAAAAAATTAAACCTATAGAAATGCTCGTTTCAAACATAATTCAATTATTACATAATATCCGAAGTTATGGAGATTGTAAATTTAGAAAATGGCTATCCTATTCAAAATATCCGGAGTTTTTTACTGTTAAATCAGTATTTTCAGGGACGTATATACTTATATACTGTCCCTGGTATTTTTTTTAGCTATTTATGCATTTTCCATGTCTTTTTGAACAGGAATACAACAACTATTTTATAAGACTAAAATTTTCAAGAAGATTTTGTTTATTCTTTTTTTATATGATTGATACGGTCGGTAGTCTACATATTAATTGTAAAAAAATGAATTATTGAAAATATATGATCAAATAATCTTGAAAAGATTGTGAATGCATCATCAATTTAGGAATACCACACATTAAAATTGAGCCAATGTGTCTGTGTGCTAATTTTGAGGCGTCGTTACGTATAAGGCCTATACAGTGAGGAACACTTTACGCCATTTCACCAGACCAATTTTCCCGGACAATGTCGGAACACTGTACGACTCAAATTTTAGTACTGTCACTGCGCTTCCTTTTCCGGTCTGGCTGTGGTGAAATAGGTTCATTGTGAAAGATACCTGCAACAATCCAACAAAATCAACAAAAATGATCATCTACAAAGACATTTTAACAGGTGGGTTTATCCGACGAAATATGTCGACATTTTTTCTATTTCATCTGGTAAGTTTTAGTTACGAATAACAGTAGTGGAGGCTCAGTCAGGACATGAATCAGTTCTATACTTATTTGTTTATACAATGTATATGTGTCACAGAGCCGGTTCGGGTAATTCCGTAACTTTTGGATGCTCTCTCTCGTTTAAAGTCGTATAAAATATCTTTGACACACTCGCTATAACGATGAATATGTGAGACATCAGACGATATGTTTTGAAAATGAATCACTAAAACCATCATTTTCTTCATTCATTGAAAATTCAACTGATGAATTATATTTGGTTGTATCTAAAGAAGAATATCGATCGACGAAATAAACACACAGGGCTCACGTGAGATTTTAGCCCAAGTTTCATCCGGACCTGACACCCGACTTTGAACATTTTGACAGATGTCTGGTGTTGGGTCAGAAAGCACTACTACATGAAAACATGGAATACAGTGTAGATAAGTTTTGAGGTGCTGACATCAAAAATCAACTATGACACAACACAAAACTTGCATATCGATAAATGGATTTTTAATATCAATAAGATACAAATCCGCTCTTATTATCGCCAACAGCTGGTGAATTCCGTTAGTAGAGTCCTTGGTTTATCATCAGGGGTCGACACTAACGGTAGACCGGAGGACAGGTCCACCAAAATCTTGGACAGTCCACTTAATCTCCAAAGGTGGTAGACTGTCAGTCAACACATATTACTTAATGAGTGTATATATATTTGAGAATATTGTTCAGAAATATACTAATAAAGACTTTATTTACTTCGCCAGCGAGCCGTAAAATCCCATCTGGTTAAAAAATGTATTGTATTTTCGTGTTGTTAACCCGTTAAAAGTTGTCGTTATCATTCTTGAACAAGTGATGTGCGTGAATCCGCTTGCGGTAAGTCGGAATCTTTTCAGCGTTTGAGTCGCTTGTGGTATATTTTGCCGCTATTATAAGCACTAAAATGATGATGACGTCACTATCACGGTGGTCAATCGGTTAATGAAGGTAAACTTAGCCTCACAATTTCGTGTTACGTTTTAATTTCTATCGTATTCTAGCATTTATCGTTTAGGTGATCGTGTCCGTCGATTAACTTAGTATCTGTACTAGACTAGTACCGTATCGCCTGTGTCGCGATTTTTAAATGGCTTGGTTAACAACCACTGTCAAAAAAAAGTTAAAAACTTCAACAGAACAAAAACAACACGAAATTTGTATGGGCAACAAAAAGGATGATATCCTTTCAGGAGTCATGGAAAAATCGTTTACATGGCTCAATAATGATTCTGACACAAACTTAATGAAATGTAGGGTATGCTGCACTCAGAAGATGATTCCGAAATGTCCGGGAAGGATTGAATAGAGTTGCAACAAAATACGTAAAGACTACTGTTGGGGCAAATTTGTTTGACATTCTGACTGTATATTGAGATAAAGTCAGAATAATTCGGACTAGACTAGCACAGGTAAATGCTAACCAGTTGGGCCATGCGACCGTCGCATCATGAAACGTACCCGCAGTCGGTCGACATTTGCTGCTAAGTAAAATTGGCTCTGTGCCCACTGGTAATCACAACTTTTCGTAATATCACAAAACTACTCTTAATATTTTAATATTTTTGAACCACTCGTAATAATCACTTACCACCCCTAATCTTATAACACATGATTTATTCTTATAACACATGTGCTAATATCATTTAAAAGTCGTAATGATTACGAGCAAAATGAGAAGAATAAGAGAAAGGTATCTCCTAGTGTGAGCCATGCAGGCCCATTGGGACTTGTTAATTATAACAGTAAGAAGAGTCCCAGGGCCGGTTATTGTTTTGGCTAGTAAAAAATGACGTTAGTGTCTCAAATATTGGACAAGCCTACCATATCATTTGATAGGTGAACTGTGACCTTGCTACTGACAATTAAGTAAGAAGTTGAAGAACAAATCTATTATTGTTATTTTCATAGTGCAGGCGCGTAGCTTTCTAGCTATATGCAAATGAATACACATAATTTTGATGAGTAAAAACATATTTATTGTACGTGTATTTCAAACCTTTCTTGCGTAAGTAAAGTAATATATAAAAAAAAAACGCGAACTTTTTTTCCAAAATCAAAATCAGAGACATAAATTACCTCTGCTTAAATCTAATCGCCAAATTTCTAGAAAACACGGGAATTTGATCCAGAGACCTTGAATTCAGAAACTTTCCTTTGGGAGGCCAACCCCCAACTGGGCCTCCCACCCACCACTACTTGCGCTACACTTATCATACAAGCAATTAAGCAATTAAATTGAAACCATAGTTTCTCTCACCTGTGTTTAACACCTGCCAACCAAACTATTTTGATACAATGGAAAGTACCCTACCTGGACAGCAATACGATATACCCCTACCCCCCTCCAAACAGGTGTGAAACTCTCGGTACCTGCTTTCGCCTGGGGCTGTATATTCTGTACAGGAATGGCAATTTTTAAGGGAACTGCAATACAAGCATTTCTTATATGATACTACATACTCGGTACGATAACTAGTTTCATAATTTATATAACCAAACTTTTTTTTGAGCAGGCAATTAACGCGGAAAATTAACCTGGTAAGAATTGAAACGGTCACTGGTTTACGATCAGAGTTGTACGATGTCTATATAAAGATCTAATTGTCGGTAACATAATTTCGAATAAAGAGTTAATGAAATATTCCAGAGATCGTTTTTCACTACATTCTTTATTTAAAAAGTAGTCACTCACTTCTCTGAAAAAGATACGCATATTGTTGAATTCTCGTTATTTTTAGAGGAATAGAAAATTTCACATACATCTGATTAACAGAAAGTAAAAGTAGAATGTGGAACAACTTGGAACTCTTCTTCATTAGACTCTCTGCTCTAAGTTCATTTTTGTTTTTACCCCATTCTCTTATCGTTGATAGTTAACAACTTAGATTCTTCTTAACCACTGGATGGAATTTGACTGGAAGCATCCCTAGGTGGTGGGAATCAGATTGTACAAATGGTGGGGCTGAGGGGCGAGTCCAAAAGGGGTCAATTTGCTTCAAGTGACTTCTTCTCTGAAACTAAGAAGTGGATATCAACCATATTTCACTGAAAGCATCCCTAGGTGAGGGTGATTAAAAATTGTACAAATGGTGGGGCTGGCTCCCCAGGGGGCTTAGGGGCGGGGCCAAAAGGGGGCAATTTGGCTATATTGCTACAAACGACTTCATCTGAAGAACTGTGCACTGGATATCAATCATATTTGATCAAAAGCATTCCTGGGAGGCAGGGATTTAAAATTGTACAAATGGTGTGGCTGACACCCCAGGGGGCTGAGGGGCAGGGCAAAAAAGGGTATTTGGCTATACTGCTTTAAGCGACTTCTTCTCTGGAACTAAGAAGTGGATATCAACCATATTTGACTGGAAGCATCCCTAGGTGATGGTTATAAAAGATTGTACAAATGGTGGGGCTGACTCCCCAGGGGGCTAAGGGGCGGGGCCAAAAGTGGGCTATTTGGCTATATTGCTACAAACGACTTCTTCTGTAGAACTGTGCAATGGATATCAATCATAATTGATCAAAAGCATTCCTGGGGGGCAGGGATTTAAAATTGTACAAATGGTGTGGCTGACCCCCCAGGGGGCTGAGGGGCAGGGCCAAAAACGGTATTTGGCTATACTGCTTTAAGTGACTTCTTTTCTGGAACTAAGTGATGGATATCAACCTTATTTGACTGGAAGCATCTGTAGGTGGTGGATATTCAAAATTGTACCAACGGTTGGGCTGACCCCCCAGGGGGCTGAGGGGCGGGGCTAAAAGGTGGCAATTTGGTTATATTGCTATAAATGACTTCTTCTGCAGAACTATGTCATGGATATTGATCATATTTGGTCAGAAGTATTAATGGGAGGCAGGGATTCAAAATTGTACAAATGGTGTGGCTGACACCCCAGGGGGCTGAGGGGCAGGGCAAAAAAGGGTATTTGGCTATACTGCTTTAAGCGACTTCTTCTCTGGAACTAAGAAGTGGATATCAACCATATTTGACTGGAAGCATCCCTAGGTGGTGGTGATNGATCCTGGGGTCTGGCCCCAACTCTAAGGACCTAGTTTCTGAGTCAAAGCTTGGAAACAGTTGAGATCCCCACCCCATAACCATACATAAAGATTCTGGGCATGAAAAATCTAATATAGCTATGCTACAAGGATTGGCCTTAGTGTCTGGCATATTCCCTTGATCTCATTTGGAGAATAGTTTGCCATGATTGCTGAGGTATCCAGGTGAGCAATACAGGCCCTATGGGCCTCTTGTATTCATGTGGTATACTATTCTAGTATTCTAATGCGAGTAATATGGTTTCATAAATATCCAGATGAGCAATACAGGCCCTCTGCATTGGCATCTGGTTTCTCTTCCTAATAACTGTTTTCTTTATTGTTTATTGAGTATATAATTGTATGATGAAAACATAAACATGTTATCTCAATATCACAAAGCTAAAAAGTAACCTTCATATTGCGATAGAAAGATGCTAATAATCTTTTTTTTATTTATTTTTTAAGATCAAGAGATGGTGTCGGATGCCTACCCCATGTCCGAGGACAAACCAGTGAGAGGCATGATGACATTTAACTGTAGGGTAAGTCACCTGGCTACTAAGGGGCAATATTAGGACCTTACAGTACACTTCAGGTGATTTGGTACTGAAACCCTGCATGGGCGATAGTGAAGGGGATTAAAGGGGCATCACGGTGAAGTAAATTTATTTTTTGTCTTTTTTTTCAAATACTGCATAAACATTTCAAAGAGACTCCTTATGGAAAATAACGATCGGATTTGGCTGAAATAGATTCATATAAATGATTAAATCTAAGAAAATCATCGGTATTTCTACCTGTCTGACCAACGTTTTGTTCAGGGATTTCCCTCTACTAGCGCATGCGCATAGCATTCCATTTCGGTGTAAACAAAATGACTCGCCGTGTGAGGTATACGAAAGAAAAGTGTTGTACCGTGTCAGCTACGAATGAAAAGCTACCAAATGGTCAAAAGATAGCGCAAGGAGTACGTTACGGAATCATTATTGCAGGTGGGCAGTATTTAAAGGAGAAAATAACTGCCGTAGCAGTTAGTACGGTGCATGTATTCTTCCGGATAGCCGGTTAAGCTGAAATGGAATCGACAGAAATGCCAGCGCTGTTTATGTTATCAATAAATATCTAAAAGTATTAAGCTTGCTAGTATCTTTGTCTGAGTTTGAACACAGATAAACTAATTCAGTATGTTAATGGGCATGTATTGGAGAGAGTTTACAGTGGTTTATGCAAAAGGAAGGGATAAGTGACTGGTTAGTTTGATTTTACCATGAGGCCCTCCAAGGGATAACTGTTGTGATGACCCACGGCGTATTTTCTGGGTCACCGAGATGCGTGTTATCTAAGTCCGTGGATTTACATAATTAATAATATTACCGGGTTCAATAAAATGGTATGATTTAATTATATTGCTGAATTAAATGCTTATTTTTGTTTTTACATGCATGATTTAAATTAGTACTAGTATGAATACCCAGCCTCATCTGCCCCGGCAATTTAAAAAAAAAAATCAGAAGGGTTTGTCCCTTGGTGTAGGGAAGGTGTTTAACCCCGTACCATCGATACCGGCCACATTTCGGTATTAAATTCAATATATATTTAAATATATCTACTTTATGTTTATGCCTTTTATCATTGTTGACATTTAATTGTAAATGTATGACGGGAGAAGGCTGTGATAAATTGTAAAAATTTGTGCACCATCCCTTGTTTAATTTTATTGGAAACAAATTTATGTTTAAAGCTAAATAAATTTCAATTCTGAACACTGGCAACTGTGCAATAAACTTCTAATGATGAATAATTACTGTTCAATAAATTTGAATACAGACTTAGAAGTCATATAACCTGGTTTCATAGTGCGGTAAGAGGTTGCAGTTGTCCGACGGCCTGTCTCTTGGGGCCCCTTTGGAAACCGTTTCATCTCGCTCGCACCACTTGTGTTTACTGCCTAGTCAGGTGACGTTATCGGTGCTATTTTTAGCAGGGCTTTCCCGAACAATTCAAGTGGTCAAACTGGACATTTGGAACGGGCTTTGAATATGGGGATAGCGAGGTAACATAAGTGAAAGTACAATGTACATACAATACATACATTCATTAAAAAAAAAGACTTTTCACGTGATGTCCCTTTAAAGCCCCACCGAGAAATCACCTGAGCAAAGTCGCGGCGGCAGGCCGCCCTATCTGCGCAGATGAGCGTTGGGGATTAACTTGTCAATCGGCAGCTAACTAATGTACTGTACATTGAATAGCACTGACAGCCCAGGATGTCCGAATGCTATATTTATATGCTGTATGAACGACTATTTCATGCAATACAATATGGTAATAGAACGTGGTACGTCCGAAAAAAATATCATTTACGTTCACGTCAGATTATCAGTTGGAAATCAGTCGGAATAAAACAATTATGTAAGTTAACAATAACTAATGTCTCTGAGTTACACGAGGCTATCTTTCAGTTGTTTAAGCAGCACACAGTGTTTTGGATGGTCAGCTATTTGCACCAACCATTCTTGCTCTATTTCGTATTCGAAGTCAGAAGATTGCATGAATTCAGGAAAGAAAATCATCTGCTTTCAACGACCTACTTACAGGTGGCACTGTTGATGTACATTACGTAGTCCGGTGTCAATCAGGTGAATCCGAAATACTTTGACGAAGTAACAGAGATGTGTAAAATTCTTCCATTTTTTAACTCACCTGGCATGAAGTGCCAAGTGAGCTTATGCAGTGGTGCGTCGTCCGGCGTCAATATTTTACTTTAAACGACTTCTTCTTAATAACCAAAAGGCCTAGGGTGATGATATTAGGCCAGAAGCAAACTGGGATGAAGGGCTACAAAGTTTGTTAAAATTTATGACCTTTACCCATTTTCAAGGTCACAGGGGTCAAATATGTTAAAAACTTTAAACATCTTCTTCTCGATAACTAAACTGCCCAGGGAGATGATATTTGGCCAGTAGCATGCTTGGGTGAAGGGCTACCAAGTTTGTTCAGATGAATGACCTTCAATTATATTAAAGGTCACAGGGGTCAATTGTCTTAAAAAACCTTTAACAAACTTCTTCTCAATAACCAAAATGCCCAGGGTGATGATATTTGGCCAGTAGCATGCTGAGATGAAGGGCTACAAAGTTTGTATAAATGATACCTCTTGCCCCCCTTTGGGCTGAGGGAAAACATAGCAAATTCTTTAAAATCCTTCTTCTTCTGAAGGAATAAAAGGATTTGTTCCATATTTGGTCTGAAGCATCCTTGGGTGAAGGGAACCAATTTTGTATAAACAGTAGGTCTGGCCTCCCAGGGGCCTGAGGGGCGGGTCAAATAGGGGAACCATAGCAAATTCTTTAAAATCCTTCTTATTCTGTAGGAATGAAAGGATTTGGTCCATATTTGGTCTGAAGCATTCTTGGGTGAAGGGAACCAATTTTGTATAAACCGTGGGTCTGGCCCCCTAGGGGCCCAATAGGGGAAACATAGCAAAATATTCTTAAAAATCCTTCTTCTAGATCTGAAGGAATGAAAGGATTTGTTCAATATTTGGTCTGAAGCATCCTTGGGTGAAGGAGAAACAATTTTGTATAAACCGTGGGTTTGGCCCCCCAGGGACCTGAGGGGTAGGGCCCAATGGGGGAAACAGCAAATTCTTTAAAATCCTTCTTCTGTAGGAATAAAAGGATTTGTTCCATATTTAGTCTGAAGCATCCTTGGGTGAAGGGGAACCAATTTTGTATCAACAGTGGGACTGGCCTCCCAGGGGCCTGAGGGGCTGGCCAAATAGGGGAAACATAGCAAATTCTTAAAAATCCTTCTTATTCTGTAGGAATGAAAGAATTTGATCCATATTTGGTCTGAAGCATTCTTGGGTGAAGAGGAACCAATTTTGTATAAAATAGGGTTTGCCCTCTAGTGATCTGAGGGCAGAGCCCAATAGGGGAAACATAGCAAAATATTCTTAAAAATCCTTCTTCTAGATCTGTAGGAATGAAAGGATTTGGTTTATATTTGGTCTGAAGCATTCTTGGGTAAAGGGGAACCAATTTTGGGCCCCCCTTGGACCTGAGGGGCGGGGCCCAATAGGGGAAATATAGGTAAAACCTTTTATAACCCTTCTTCTACCATAGGGATTAAGGGATATTATCCAAATTTAGTCTGGAGCATCCTTAGGCAAAAGGGACTCAATTTCGTTTAAACAGCAAGTGTGGCCCCCGTGGTGGCAGAAGGGAGCTTGAGGGGCCCAATAAGGGAAACAGCAAATTCTTAAAAATCCTTCTTCTGCAGGAATGACCGGATTTTTTTTCAAAATTTGGTATAAAGCACTCTTGGGTGAAGGGGAACATATTTTGTATAAATGATGTGTCTGACCCCCCTGGAGGCAGAGAGGTGAGGCCCAATAGGGGAAACAGAGGTAAAACCTTTAAAATCCTTCTTCTACCATAGGGATTAAAAGATTTTATCCTTATTTAGTCTGGAGTATCCATGGGTCAATTTTGTATAATTGGTGGGTATGACCCCACTAGGGGCAGAGGAATTGGGCTCTGTTTGAAGTTTGTTCTGGCTCTATCTGAAGTGCTTGATGGATCTTTCTGAAATTTCTTATGTACTTACAGCACCTACCATGGAGTGCTATATCTTTTCTTCATATAAATTATGCCGTGGTGCGGCGTCCGGCGTCAATATTTTACTTTAAACTACTTCTTCTTAATAACCAAAAGGCCTTTAACTTTAAACATCATCTTCTCGATAACCAAACTGCCCAGGGAGATATTTGACCAGTAGCATGCTTGGGTGAAGGGCTACCGAGTTTATCAAATAAATGACCTTCAATTATATTTTTCAAGGTCACATGGGTCAATTGTCTTAAAAACCTTTAAACAACTTCTTCTGAATAACCAAAATGCCCAGGGTGATGATATCTTGCCAGTAGCATGCTGACATGAAGGGCTACAAAGTTTGTTCAAATGAATGAGATTCACCCATTTTCAAGGTCACAGGGGTCAAATATGTTAAAAACTTTAAACAACTTCTTCAAGGTCACAGGCATCAAATTTAATTAAAAAAAATTAAATTACCTCTTCTGAATAACCATGGGTCCTGGAATGTTGTTATTTTGCAAGTTGCATCCTGAGATGAAAGGCTATAAAATTTGTTAAACACGACGACCTTGTTTGACTTTCAATAACAGGGGTGAAATGTTTTTAACAAAAAATACCATTCCTTTTGAATGAATTTTATTCATAAATACTGATATTTTGCCTGTAGCTTTATTTTAGATCACTTTAAGGTTATAAGTGTGAGATGTATACCAGGTGAGCGATGCAGGCCCATTGGGCCTATTGTTAATGAAAATATTTTGCCTAATGAATATAAATCAAGGTGAGTGATTGATACAGTCCCTCTGGGCATCTGTTTGTTTTACCTTTTCAGATGGTGAAAGAGGATGGTGTCGGAGATTATGATATTGGTGCAAATGCTTCTCAAGAGGAGGAAGCAGAACAATTGCAAGAGGCTGAACAACAAATGGTAGTTGATATTGTCTCAGGTTTTAAGTTAGTGGAGACTCCAATGGCAAAGAAAGATTTCAAAAATTTTATAAAAGGAGAAATTAAAGAGTAAGTATTTCATCTTGTACCAATTTAGCTTTAGCTCACCTGCCCAAAGGGCCTAGTGGGCTTATGGTGTGGTCCGGTGTCAATATTTTACTTTAAACAACTACTTCTGAATTACCAAGAGGCCTATGGTGATAATATTTGGCCAGTGGCATGCTTGGATGAAGGGCTACCAATTTTGTTCAAATGAATTACCTTGACTCACTTTCAAGGTCACAGGGGTCAAATGTTGTAAAATCTTCAAACCACTACCTCTCAATAACAAAAAGGCCCAGAGTACTGCAATTGGGCATGTAACATGCTGGGATGAAGGACTACCAAGTTTGTTGAAATTAATGACCTTGACCCACTTTCAACCTAATGTCCTTGTTCAACATTCAAGGTGATCACAGGCATCATATATTTAAATGACCTTGACTTCTTTTCAAGGTCACTGGGCTCAAATATGTTTAAAACCATTCAACAACTTCTTCTAAATAACCAAGAGGCCTAGGGTGAAGATAGTTGGCGAGTTACCTGCTGAAACGAAAGGCTAACAAGTTTGTCCAAATACATAACCTTGACTTATATTCAAGGTTACGGGGGTCAAATATGTATAAAACATTTTAGCAACTTCTTATGAATAACCGAGAGGGCTAGGGTGCTTAAATTTGGCAAGTAACATGCTGGGATAAAGGGCTACCAAGTTTGTTCAAATAAATAAACTTGACTTATACACAATTCAACATCAATCATATATTCAAGGTCACAGGTGTCAAATATGTTTAAAACCTTTAAACAACTACTTCTGAATTACCAAGAGGCATATGGTGATGATATTTGGCCAGTTACATGCTGGGATGAAGGGCTATCAAGTTTGTTCAAATAAATGACCTTGACATATATTAAAGTTCACAGGGGTCAAATATGTTTAAAACCATTGAATGACTTCTTAATAAGCAAAGGGCCAAAGGTGATGATATTTGGCCATCAACTTGCTGGGATGAAGGGCTTCCAACTTTGTTAAAATGAATGACCTTGACATATATTCAAGGTCACGGGGGTTAATTATGTTTAAAACCATTAAATGACTTCTTCTTAATAAGCAAAAGGCCCAGGGTGATGATATTTGGCCATTAACATGCTGGGATGAAGGGCTACCAATTAGAATTTGTTCAGATGAATGACCTTCCCCCATATTCAAGGTAACAGTGGTCAATATAATTTTAAATATTTAAATGATTTGTTCTGTATAATCAAAAGGTCCAGGGAAATGACATTTTGCTAGAGGCATGTTGGGTTGGGAGACTAAACTCTGTTCATAAACTCTGTTCAACCTAATATCCTTGTTCAATATTCAAAGTCACGGGCGTCATATGTTTAAATCTTTTAATAGGTTCTCATGAATCAAACACTGAATTTCTGCCTGTAGTTGTATTTCAGTCCACTTTTAAGATTACAAGTGTTAGATTAATACCAGGTGACGATTCAGGCCCATTGGGCCTCTTGTTTAGTCTGGAGCATCCTTGGGCCAAGGGGACTCAATTTTGTATAAACGGTATGCATGACCCCCCTTTGGGGCATAGGGGTGGGGCTCTGTTTGAAGTTTGTTCTCGCTATACCTCGAGTACTGGATGGATCTTTCTGAAATACAGCACCTACCATAGAGTGCTCTATCTTTACTTCCTACCAATTATTTTAAACATATCCAGGTGAACGATACAGGCCCTGTGGGCCTCTTGTTTTGATTCTGAACATGAGCTATCTCCCCCATAAAAAATTCCAAAAGCTGGCAAGTGTGCAAGATACATCTGGGATTTCTTGTAAGCACATGTGCATACCTTTATATTATTATTTTAGTATGCTGAAAAAAATAAAAGAAGATATGGCTGAAAACAATGTACCCGAGGATAAGATAAAGGATAAGGAGGATGCTTTCCAAAAAGATGCCATGTCCATGGCAAAATGGATTTTAGAACGTTACGACGATGTCCAATTGATGATTGGTAAGTACTTCTTTAAAGTCCGACATCTTGATGAAACCAAATTGATAATGTCTGTGCAATATTTCTATCTACCAGCTCTTAATGTTTGCAATATTTTAGCTCATCTGCCCAAAGTGAAAATTACACTACTTTTCAAAAAATTATTTGGTCCCCAGGCCGGGACATACCAAAGTCCTTAAAATTGGTAGTTGTTATTCCCTACTTGACGTTAGCTTTAAGGAGAATGGCAACAACTGGTTCAACCGTTGTCAATATATTGTGAAGAATGGAATGCTGTGCTGGGTCACAGGGGTCAAATGTCTTAAAATCTTCAAACAACTTCTTCTCAATAACCAAAAGGCCCAGGGTACTGATATTGGGCCTGTAGCATGCTGTTATGAAGGGTTACCAAGTTTGCTCAATAGAAGTTGTTTAAAGTAAAAAGTTGATGCTGGAAAGAAGGATGATGGACACTGCCCCACGGCATAAAGGCTACCAAGTAGCCAGTAGCATGCTTGAATAAAGAGCTAACAAGTTTGTTCAAATGAATGACCTGCGCACATATTCAAGGTCACAGGGGTCAATTGTCTTAAAAACCTTTGAACGTGTTCTGTGTAACTAAAATGTCCATGATATTTAGCCAGAAGGATGTTGGGATGAAGGGCTACCAAGTTTGTTCAAATAAATGGCCTTCATCCATTTTCAAGGTCACAGGGGTCAAATATGTTAAAATCTTTAAACATCTTCTTCTGAATAACCAAGAGGCCTAGGGTGATATTTGGCCGGTAACATGCTGAGATAAAAGGCTTCTAAGTTGTTCAAATAAATCAATTTGACTTGTATTCAAGGTCACAAGGGTCAAATATGGTTGAACTTGTAAACAACCATCTTCTGAATACCCAAAAGGGCTAGGGTGATGATATTTGGCCAATAACATGTTTGGAAGACTATAAACTCTGTTCAACCTAATGTCCTTCTTCGATATTCAAGGTCACAGGCATCATATGTTTAAATCTGTTAATAGGTTCTAATGAATCAAACACTGATAGTCTGCATGTAGCTGTATTTTAGTCCACTTTTAAGATTACAAGTGTGACATTAATACCAGGTGAGCAATGCAGGCCTATTGGGCCTCTAGTTCCATGATTTCTTTAATATTCAAGGGAGAGATAAAGGCCCTCTGTATATTGTTTCAGCTGCAACAGATTTGAGCAAAGCTTAAGTTATATTTAATGTAGCATGAATGACATAAATTATACCCGTTAGCCTAATTGTTTTGGGTTTTTTCAGGTTCGGATTACAAAACAGAATGCATGCCTGGATTTCTCATCAATAAAGGAGCAGATGACATACACATGTATTACTTCAAACATGCCTTGGTACAGGAAAAATGTTAATGGCACATGTATGTATTACTATGTTGTTTTATCAGATATTTTCTGCTCAGATATATTTTTAGGGCATTTTTATGATGTACATGAAACTTGGTCAAGATGTTGAGTTCATAAAAATACACATTGAGCTAAAAAGCCAAGGTCATAAGGTTCAAAGGTCAAGGTCAAATTTTGTAACTTTTCACAAGTGGACATTTTGAAGCAAAGGTGTTCGGAATTAAACAAAGAGACAAACTGAGGTAAAAAGTTGATGTCAAAGGTCAAGGTCATAAGCTTCAAAGGTCAAGGTCAAATTTTGCATATTTTCACTGATGAGCACATTTTGTTATGACATGATGAAGCAAAGTTGATTGGAATTAAACAACGAGTCAACTGACCAAAGGTCAAGGTCATTGGGTCAAAGGTCAAGGTTAAAATTTTTATCTTTTCGCTGTTGAACATTTTGCTATGACACTTTGAAGCAATGTTGCTCAGAATTAAACAAGATGTAAATTGACCATAGATCAAGGTCATTTGGCCAAAGGTGAAGGTTAAATTTTGTACCTTTTCCCTGATGAAAATTTTGTTATGACATAATGAATTCAATGCTGTTCAGAACTTAACACAGAGTCAACTGACCTTAGTTCCAGGTTACTGGGTCCAAAGGGTCAAGGTCAAGTTTTGTATTTTTCACTGATGAACATTTTGTTATGATATTAAGAAGCAAAGTTGGTCGGAATTAAAGAATAAATCAACTGACCAAGTATCAGGGTCACTGGGTTAATAGTCAAGGTCATTTGGGTCCAAAGGTCAAAGACAAAGTGGTTCTCTGACTTTGACCCTGGCTCTTGATGGAGGAGGTATATGAGGTGAAATAAAACAAATCAAAGCTAACAAATGAGTATTGCACCGGTAATTATATTTCTGTTAGCCCAGCAAATATGGAGGTGGAAGGAAACGCATCACATCATAGTACATGTAAAATGTATATTTTGCTTCCTTGCGATTCTTTTTGAAGTCCAAATGTCAAACGTCAAGCTCAGCTATATATGCAAATTGCTTCTTGATGATCATGGGGGATATAATTGCCACAAGACAGGGCTCTTACTGACCTGTCAGTGTTCTAGTTTTAGCTCATCATCAGATGCTGGGTTGTTTGAACCAGACAGACATCTTGAATTTAAGCAGTTCCAATTTTATTATCACTATATTTTATATGTATGTTTCCCTTGGTCCCTCAGTTAAAAAAGGACACTTGGCACCATTGAAAGTTCATCCCTCATTTACAGCACTTCTAATTATGTAAGAATTACAAATATTTATCTTTTTGCATATAGTTTTGCAATTCTTTTACATTCACATCTGTCATAGTGGCAAATAGCATATGACATTAAAAGGTTTATGTTCATGTAAAAGATTCTCTTTTAGGTTTCCATCATGGGACTGGTTAATAGTACTGGTAAGGTAAATGAAGAGCAAAGAAGATAAAAAAAGATAATCTTTTGATAACGACCTTCTGTTGGTGCGCACCAAGATCCTTCAAGGATCTCTGGTTTGGACAATAACTGCCTGTTTAGTTCATCAAAAAGCAATAATGAATGTAGGCTATATGTCAAAACAAGTATTCAGAATTATAAGAAGAAATTGAAAATCCCTATATGGTCAACTTTTTCCTTTCAAACCTTGCTCCTTTCTGAATAAAACTGATCAGATTGCAACTTAATTCAATGTGATGCATCCTTGGTACTTAAAAGCCAAATTTTGTGTAAAAGAAGGTAGTGGTACCTATCAGGTAGCTATAGGCATATTGGATTTTAAGAGTTCAAATATGATATTGCGTTTATCAAGGACTTGATAGATCTTTCTCAAATTTCATAAGTACTGTACATTGTAGGTTCCCCTTGGTCCATAGTTGTGTATGTATCATAATATCGGAAAAACATAATTGCTGCCTTGTGGTCATCTTTTATTTTTGACAGTTCAAGTATATTATAGCTAATTCTCTAGAAGTTCTTCATGAATCCTTCTCAAATTTTTATGTAGGTTTCCATTGCGATCAGTTTATAGCTGTGTACGCTTCATTTAGAGACCGATAGGAAAAAACAAGATAGCCACCAGTTAGCTGTCCTGGATTATGGCAGTCCAAGTTTGTTATCATTATTTCTTCAGGCATAAGCAATGACTTAACTATGACCAAACCCAGGCCTATGAAAGAGTTACTACAGTGTACTTGGTTCAGGTGATGAGAATTCAAATGATTGTTGCAACTTAAACAAATTACAAATTGATTTCACATTCAAATAACTTACCTAAGTACACTTGTGTTAACACCTGGGGTAAAATTATATGTTTACTGTATTTACAGGGTAACACCTGGGGTAAAATTATGTTTACTGTATTTACAGGGTAACACCTGGGGTAAAATTATGTTTACTGTATTTACAGGGTAATACCTGGGGTAAAATTATATGTTTACTGTATTTACAGGGAAACATCCTCCAGCCTTCCAAGTTTGCTGCTGTTTGGACTTTGTGGACAATACTAAGTTACAACATTTGACCAAACATTCTGAATCGAAATTCACCATAGTATAAACATATTCATGGACATTGTTGATCATGAGATATAAACAGACCCTTGTGCATATGTTGTCATTGTAATAATAAGGAGCTCTTCTGCGAAGCCAAAATAATCTATATTATTTTTAAATTGTGCACAGAGGACTTCAAAACGCACTGTGATATATTTAAGTTTGTTTGCCTCTGTGCATAACAACATATGCACATACCATCATAGTTATGATTACTAGGATTTGCCTGCAATGCAGTTGTTACCATAAAAAGTAATGTAAATTATGGAGCAATTCATTGTTGTATAGTATTTCAAATCAAGCTTTACTTTAAAAAGAAAGAAAAAAATGCTTCTTGTAGCTGAAAATCTAGATATTCATATTTGCTGCATTTTATAATAGAAAACCCTTAAGCTTCCCTTAAAAGTTTGAAGAGCTTCCATTTCATTTTGATAAAAGAACCTAACAATCTTCCAACAAATTGCATGCTTAATTAAAGAAAAAGTAAAAGAGAACAATTAGTGTGCGTGTTTTTTGTACAGTGTATAATGATATACATGTATAACATATTTGGACGTTTGTCTAATTAATAATGTGGCCTTGTAAAACAAATATACCTGTCTTTTCTAAACATTTACTCAGTAAGTATGGATTGTCGAAAGGGTCAGGTACCACAAACCAGTTTAGTGTTGATGTGTAACGTTTTGCTGACGAGTATACCGTACATTATAGTATGGTGTGCACTTGGTCACCTTTATCAGATGTAAACAAGGTACGAGTTGGCAATATAAAATCAACGTGAATTCGGCTACGGTATAATATGAACCTATCAACCTAGCCTGGTTGGACCTATACAATTTGGCAATAAATACTGTATGCCAAAAATAAATTAAAATCTGTCATACAGCAGTTTCGTCGGTTAACGCACAGGCGCCTACATCTGGTATTAGATATGTGAAAATATCAAATACAGTCGAACCTCATTATCACCGGGTGGTTGTGGAAACTTTTAGTTATGCGGGTTCATAAATTTGGTATGAAATTTGCTGTTTTGGCATTTCGCTAGCAGTTGTTGATTTTATTAATAGCCAGCGCTTATAATCAATCGATGAATGATATACGTAATCAATATAGCAAATACAGGTATGTAATTTTACATAGAGTAAGTTATTTCAGAAAAACGTATTTTCGTTTAACGGGATCAAAACGGTTGGACAACATTGTGAATTCGTTATTAAATATGGAGGGGCCTAGTTATTAAATTGTTGTTTTTGGCTAGTCTAGATATTGGCAAAGTCTTTCCAGGTCTACATTTGTATTTGCAAGTCCGTCAAGTTTTACTTCCGAAGTGTTCAATTTAAAAATTGAATTATCCCGCTGTCTCTACAGTGCGGGAAATGAAAGTGCGCAAGTCTAAAACAAATCACTGTAATGGAGCGTACGCGTAGTTGATTCTGTAAATGAAAACACACACAAAACGATTATATCATACATGTAACACATTGATTCATCAAAGCCAAATTTGACACCTGACACCTCAACTCATGTAGTCAACAATAATTATCGTATTGTTCTTAAGTCTCTCGATTGACCTTCAAAGCCATACAAGCTCCGGAAGAAATATGAACCTGTGAAGCTGTCCTAGGTTGTGATTTTTACTGTGGATCTCTTTTATGCATGACCACACTTTGACCAATTTTTCAATTTGCACTGTCGTCTGTTTGGGTGTACGTACAGAATACTGTTGATCAATATTGATGATTTTTGATATGAACAACATGGTTTTTACAGTCTGAAGCTTTATCGTAAATTCTTTTTACCGATTTCATGCTACTCACGAAAGATATTCATCAACGAGGAATGGCGAGATGTCGTCGTACTTTTGCGTTTTAATTGTATCAAAGAATTAACAAAGAAATTCGAACACTATGCAGTAGACGATGTTTTGATGTTGGATTAACGCTATCGGAACCAATATCTTACTTTGAGGTATCCGAGTTTTCCGACTTTTCAGGGTTCGAATTATCAGTTTTATTTACTAAGACAAAGAAAAGGTTTTGCCTGGACCGGATAAATACTTCGAGATTAACAGGGTCTTCGAGTGAAAAGAGTTCAAGATAACAAGGTTCGACTGTAGTAGTATAGTAGGGTAGGCAGGTTATTATATATTTTCACATATTTGCATACCAGATGGAGGCGCCTGTGGTGATCAACGACACACTTTTGTGTTCATACGCTTTACTGGTCATTTGTCTGATGAAAGTGACAGAGAATATACCGTACTAGTCATAGAAATATTAATATTACACATGAACATTTACTGGTTGTGCTACATCGGAGACATATGCGTCTCTGGCTAGATGAAATTTTATGCAATCTATAAGTCTACAGCTTGTGAAATGAAGACATGTAGTCTTCACGTGACAAATGTTACCTATAGTAATCTTTATTCAGCAATAGAGACAAATGTCTTTGTGCCATAAATACATTGCATATACAAGGATATATGTAGTGGTACAATGCATTAAATTACATAAATATATAATAAAGTAAAACAGTGACTTTCCATACTTAAATGCAGGTTTCACGACATTAGGGCGGACGTTACTACTGATTAAATAAGTCAATGTTCCGTTAACGCAGGCACTAACGAATAGCCTAATTAGATTATAAAGGTTGGTAGAATAGATATGATCAACATATGTCTATATGTTATGGTGGAATATATCACTGGAGATCCGAAAATAGTGGGGGGGGGGGGGGGGGGGGNTCTCACCCTCGTTAATATATATATCCCACCATGATACACGCTCATCAGTTGATTATTTCTTAAATAGACAACAGGTGTGTTGATAAATGTGACAACAGTAATCGCCTTAAATAAACTTGTCGTTTATGGAGCGACACTAGGGGATATGAATAAGCACATGGGTGAAAGAGCTTTCGACATGACCAAACATTTGGGATTAATCCTCATTTTCTATCTCTGCACCCATGGAATATGTTAAAACAAGAAGACGAGCTTGATCCTTTGCATCAAAAGAATCTCGCAGTCCCGTGACGGTAAAACTTGCTGTCTTTGAAGTCGGGTGTCGCTCCTTTGTAATCCATCAAATTAATGATTGGTCAGGTGGGTTTTTTTACCCTAGACCAATCGAATTGCTAGCAACGTGCCGTCAATTTTGCTTTGACGGGTGCAGAGAGCGAAAGTGAGCGTACCCAGTGGATATCGACGGTGGACCAAAGAACGTCACAACATTTAATATTAAATTGCCTTATAAACTCACAAACACAGAAAACGTTGGTTATAGTCAACATTAAGAAATTGGTACATTTTGTTGATAACAAAAGTAGGATCTGTGCCATCATTCTAGATAGAATCCATAACTCAATGAAACACGCTTGTAAAAAAACAAACACGCTTGTAAAAAGAGTCGTGTTGAGACTGATCAACTGAGATTCGGGGAACGAGGGTTTTGAATAAATATAACGAAAGAAGAGTGAGTCGCGCTTCCAAAATAAGGAGGAGACACATCTATCGCGATATTACCAGCTAATACGGGCAATGCAACCGTCAACATGGATACCGACGATTCTGAGGTCAATGTTGTGACGTTGCAGCAAGACAACCAAACATATAAACAGCTACCAGAAAGGCGCCTCCCAGCCATCCTGTCTAAAATTAAATCAGAAGCATCATTACCGAATCCCAATTAGATGCCTGTATCCCACTGTATCCTTAGGACGTAAGTTATACATCCGAGATCCACAAACGGGAACCCACTGAGACTTGTTGTGAACTGTAACTGGTCCACTGTTGCCAGGTCTTTAGCCGACAGTCTTTGACCGCCGGTGAATAAATCAGTAACACCGGTATGATAAGAACCTGAGGTGTTTTATAGCGGAAAATATGTCCACGGTCACGATAAAGATTTCTCTCTTTATTTACAATGCACTTAAATCGGACATCTATAATTATCAAGCAATTTTAGCATAGCTGGAAAATAGTCCCTTTTACCAGAATCCTCATGAATAACGGTTTACCGCGGGCTCATCTTGTCGCTCAAGCAAGACATTGTACAAACTTCTTTTATCATTCTTAATACCATATAATGGAGTCGTATTGTGTCTCAGAATATTCAAAAGAACATTTGATCAATCTAGAACATCCTCTTCTCAAATATATTTCTTCTATACTTTTTTGTTTGCTTTTCGACTATTTACACTACCATTCATCATACCAACCAGTAAGACCGTCTTCGTGTTCTTTTTTATAAGAAGTTTCTTTACAAAACAAAAGGCAATCTGCGATGTAAAATGTTTTGGAGAATATTTTACCTGGTTGACAATGTCTATTAAGGTCGATGGCAAGACTTTCCTCGGGTAAGCTTGCTGTAGGAATTCATATGCGAAGAATCTGTGCCCCTCCTGTGGCCAACTTCTTAGTTTGCATACGAAGCTAAATTTATTGATAAGCAATCAAAACAAAAAAAGCTAAGCCAAGTCCTTCAACATTACTCCGATATATCGACAATGTGCTATCTCTACATAACAAGAATTTGATTTGCCGCGTCGATCTTGTACACTTTTCCTCTTGATATTAAGGACACCACAGGCTCTTCTATCTCAGTCACTTTCCTCGATCTTTACTCATAATATGATCAAAGGGACCGCTAACAAATACGCTATACAAAAAGAGTGGCTTTCTTGAATTTCCTACCATGAACTTTCCCTTTGTTGACAGTACCACCCCAACAACCAGTGCTGCTATTGATTCGGTCGATATTCAAGAGTTTGCTGCACATAGCGTAACTTCATATCTTCATCATGATAGTATTGATGTCTACTGCTGACTGACTAAGCTATTACGCAAGGTTTCATAATGTGCAGGTTAATGTTAACTATAGCCAAGTTTTATGGTCGCTTTAATAATCTTATAGAAAAATAGGCTATTTCTTTGTATGGTGTGAAGGTCGATGTTGTTGATTATGCTTATTAGTGACGTTTTGTAGTCACCGCTCCAGATCTCGCTTTTTGGACGTAAAATATTATGGATTTGACCTAGATTAGCTGTGTGTTGTACATGAAGCATACGACGCTTACCCTTCCGGAACACCTGGTCTTATTTTCCTTGTCTTTTTAAGGGTTTCCATGTCTTTGTTAATATTTTGCCCTAGATTTATCTTCAATTATTTAAATTCATTTCACAGATTTCTGGATAACAACTAGTATTGCATACCTTATTGTCAGTTGGACTCACATTTAAATAACTAAACTCGTTCACAAAATTTCGCATATTTTGTATGTTAAAGAGATATGGCGGGTTGCTATGCCTATTTCCCCAAAGCTTTGTTACGCTAGAGCGCGCATCCAACCGTGCACTGTTATGACGCGTCCTCAGGTATTTTTTATACAGGTTGCAATATCGGAATCCCGTGTCTGAAAATAGATTATTGTAAACAGAAAATATTAGTAAAGAAATTATTACTAACAAAACTGTTAAATCAATAGGTATGTTATTAAAATGTAAACAAAATCTTCCATCGATTTAATTAAAACCACCATTGCCTTATTAAGGAAAAGGATCACATGCCTCAATATTTTTAAAAAAATTAACTGAAGGAGGATTTGAACCTGCACCGTTTATTTTTAAGTTACAAGTAAACTGCGTTACACATTCGGCTACATAGAACATACAGATATTGACAATTACAAACTTATTTAACCCGAGAAACACCGGTCGCAGTTTAGAGAATTTTGAGCACTTTCCCAAAGGAGGACCACTTTTCCGTAATACGATTTGTTTTTGCATATTACATCATGGTCACAAAAAGTTTATTCAAAAGTTGGTCCTCGGATGGGAAAGTGTTGAAAGTATTATTTTAACTCCGGGAAACCCCATCACTTTCATAGATATAGTGTATATGGCTATATTTGCAGTATCATATTAGCAATACCTAATTTCTCAGCAGTTTAAAAATTCATATTCAATTGGTTTTGTATCTTTTGTATGTATTTTTGCTACACGAAATATATTACACCTTATTTCCCCCCCGTTTTCATAAATGCCGATTTAGGCAAATACGGGCAGTTTTCCGCCATACCTCTTTAATCATAAAACGCATTGGTATAGTTATCAATTGATTTTATTTAAATATTATATTGTCGTTAGTAACAAAAATATACGTTTATCTGGCAATTTTCCAAGTGCCTATATAGCTATGCAATATTTATGTCCATGCTACGCCCCTAACAAGTACTATGAATTCGTATTATTTTCTGACCTTGTACCAATTTTGGTACGTACCCATTGTACATGGTAACGTGACGTACGTTATATGTTAAACTTTAAAGTTGGTCAAATATATTACTTTCGTTATAATACAAAGGGTGTGAAAAAGACGATTTTACCATTCTAGTTATCGGGATCTGTGTTTTTGAAAAATGTTGTAATTTATTATTTTTGAACAAATGCTGAAGGCCTGCATGTAGTTTGATTTCATGATGCCATAATGATAACGTGCACTGACGACGAATAATGTATATTATTTTATTTGTTATTGTCTAATTTATATAATAAATGCGTGGACGCATGCTATATTAAATCAAAATCGACCTGCATAATGTAATAAAATTACCGTATAACAGTTACAGATCTATGTATTGTACTCGTATTTCGTTCCGTACATATCCGTCTCCTGATCCGTCTGCAGATTAGAAAGCACCTGTCATGGCGTATGACAGCAGCGCTGGCAACTATATGCAGAAGCAGAAAGACAAAAATGTGTTTGTTACAGTGGGAACGACAGCGTTCGACGGGTTAATCAACGTATTTGCTGCAGAAGAAACAATACAGGTAACTTTAACATCACTCATTCCATATTACCACGGAATTTTATATAATTAGATGCTATCTAAGTCCGTGGTTTGAAGAAAGACTTCTCGAATGTATACACTTACTTTGCTAGTTATTTCAGGTATTAAATTCACAGGATATGTAGATCAGCCACTACTATTCATTGCCGCAATGTATACGAACAAAAATCCATTCAATCCCTATACAATTTACAGCTGTGACATTATCAGCAATGGACTTTCAAAAATAATCATAAATCATGTTATTACAAATAACATCAACCAACTTTTATTTATAAAATAGAGCTTACAGCAGAGTAAATATAAACATTCCTATAGGCCCAGTAAGATTAAAATCTGTGTAATCTGTCAACATGTATCATTAGGCAATCAAGGCATGCCCATCACCAACCCTTCCAAATACCACACTGCAGAACCCAGGTCAGAAAACAATCCTTCTTTCCACGATCAATATCTGAGTGGAATAAGATCCCACCAGATATCATATACTCCTGTTTTACTACTGAATCTTTTAAATCTGCTCTCCTGTCACTGTATCCTCAAAATTAAATCTATAATATATACTAGTACATGTATATTATTTTGGCTTTCTCGGAATCTCTTTCTCCATCATGACATTATCTTGTTGAAGTTGGTCATTAGCATTTAGAAATAGAAGTATTTTGCTGAGCAATGAAAACATGTAGCCATCATTATTGAGAAAGGAAATAAAAAAAAGAGCTGCATGGTCTTCAGGAACCCCCTGCCACCCTGAGAATTTTCTTTAAAAATCATGTTTTTCCCCACATGGAACCTCCTCCCTGGACCACAGCCTATGTCTCGAGGCATAACCATGGCATGCGGCTATATACGCGGTAGTGTCTACCTGTTTGACGAATGGATAGACTAAGGTTTTGTTTGGTCGGGAATAAATCAGAGTTCGAGGAATATGGGTATTTGACCAATGGCTGTTTAAGTATTCCGAGGTTAATTTACAAAGATAATATAAAAGAAGATGGTCAGGACCAAGCAAACTATTCGAGTAATGCAAGTTCAAGTAAGTAGGGTTTCACTGTATATACGTATTTACATTAATCGAGCTATTATTTTCAAGAAGTAAGTGAAAGTCATACAACTGTAGAGAATGGGACACTATTAGGGAAAACAGCCCAACAAACTGTCATGCAATGCAAAGTAGTACTTTAATATGTATGTATGCAGTTTTCACTTGATGATGTGAATATCACTTTAATTTTATATAATATTCTGATGCTGATTACGGTTACATCAGGACAGGTAGACAGGTTGGCACTATGGTACATTGATGGGTAACGCTTTCCGTTTACAGTGGCAGTAGCAATTTTATAAATAAAATGCGGAAATGAAGTAAATGAAATATTGTTACTGTAAACAGTATCTGCGACCCAAATGCTGGATTATTACCAATATATGACTTTGTGCCCAGTCTGTTTAGTATGGAAAAGAAATTTACCGGTATTCAGAATCTCCTGATTCTGAAAATAATTGAACTATGTATAATTGTCTGCTGATTTTGTTTGTTTAAATATTAGCAAAATACCCAAGACATAAGTGACCCTTTCAGGGTACAGTTACACCTGTTCAAGGGCCTACATGACCCTGATAGTATTTCACGTTCTTTTTATAAAACCCTGTGCTGGAAAAAACAACTTGTAATAAAAATGAAAAGTGGATAGTATCTATTAATGAAAATTAACAATCATTTTTAGCTCACCTGGCCCGAAGCTTATGTCGTACTGCGGCGTCCATTGTCCGTCCGTCAACTTTTTCTTTTAAACAATTTCTTCTGAAGAACTGAAGGACCTAGGGTGAAGATATTTGGCCAGTAGGTACCTGGGATGGAGTGCTATAAAGTTTCCTCATTTAAATGACCTTTACCTACTTTCAAGGTCACACAGGTCAAATATGTTAAGAAATTCAAATAACAACATTCTAAGAACCAGTTGGACTAGAGTCATGATACTTAAGTATTTTATATAGACCAGCAGTGCAAATCTTTTTCTTAATTACAGTAATGAGGTCAAATGTCAACTGTAAGTGCTAGTCGGGGGTCAAATGTCAACATGGTTAAACGCTTTAACAATCTTCTTCTCAAGTTCCATAAGGCCCAGGGTCATGATATTTGGCCAGTAGGTATCTGAGATGGAGTGCTATAAAGTGTCCTCATTTAAATGACCTTGACCTACTTTCAAGGTCACAGGGGTCAAATATGTTAAAAACTTCAAACAACAATATCCTAAGAACCTTTTGGACTAGAGTCATGATACTTGGGTATGTTATGAAGACCAGCAGTGCAAATCTTTTTCTTAATTACATAAAAGAGGTCAAATGTCAACTTTAAGTGCTAGCCTGAGTCGAACGTCAACGTGGGTTAAAAGCTTTTAAATTACAATTTCAAATTTCAAACAACAATATCTTGAGAAGCATTTAAGAGATGTTAAAATGTCTTGTGTTTTATAGTTACCAAATTTGGTCTGAAGTTACCTTTATATCAGTTTCATGTAACAAAAGAACTAGGTGAGCGATACAGGCCCTCTGGGCCTCTTGTTTGAATTGATAATATATAGTATAAAATACATTGATATTTATTCAAAAAATGTCCTATTTTAGATACAGGGAGGTTGCATAAGATTACAGTCACCTTCTCTAGCTTCGCGTCAGAGTAAATTTATCCTTGAGCTCAATTGGTAAAGTAGTCGCCTTGGAAAGTTGGGGGTGACAGGTATGATATAAATACAAATATAATCTTTATTTATTATACAACAATTATGAAACAAGTTGTAACAACTTATACTTCACTCTTGTTGGCCCGGATATTAGCGCACTGGGGGGG